TAAGAGAAAACAATTGGACACAAAAAGATTGAAAAAAGAGAACTGAACTTATGGCACAAGCAACGGAGCTTTATTCATAAACATAAGAGACATAAGTCCAGCTTAATGTTTTACAATTAAAACAAAAGTTAATTTGAAAAAAAAATTAGATGAAAAATTATAACCGTTTTTTTTTCAAATGTGGGTTGCTATTGTGCGGTTTGCGGAATAACACTTAAAGCTTGTTGGAACAAGTGTACCTTGATCTTGAGTGTAGCCAGATCTTCCAAAAAAATTGAATCTTTTCCTTGAATAAAAGTATTATAATTATTAATATAATCATTAAAAATTTGTATAAGAACAGCGGACAATTTTTGAGCGCACAACAATTGAGCCAAAAAATGTATTCAAGAAAAACTTCGGAAACTTAAAAAAATAAATAATAATACCTCTCGAAAGACTCACAAGCTGAGAAAACTTGTTCCGCTCATCGAACGATGCAATATGATTGCACTAAAAACTGAAAGAACGGAAAAAAACGAATTCATATCGAACCGAAGTGGTAAATTTCTGAAAAATGTTTAATTCCAGTAAACACAAAACAGTTATTCCGAGTGATCAATGATCCAAAAGGATAAAGCATGATAATCGCGAGCTTAAGTAATTGTGAAGTGCACATTAACGAACGGCGTAAAAATAAAAATTCCGCAAATCTTGTAACTCAATTACCTTTACCAATGAGGCTTCAGAAATGGCATTCACATTGAAATAAGAAAGCGTAACCTCCAAGCATAGCTAACAGACACTTGCGAAAAGTAATGAACTTAATAAATAGAAAAAAGACTCGCATTTTGAAAAAATTTCACCCGAATTTTAAGGAAAAAATATACCCCTTTCAAGCTCTTTGAACTCTCAGAACAGTTTAAGAATAGTGGTTTCTGGAAAAAAATTGAACCAATTTGAGAAAACTGGATAAACAGCTAGATTTTTAATTCCGCTGGGAAATTTCAACATTAAAATAAACTTTCGAAACTAGAAATCGATCACGTGTTTCGTGACCTTAACACTTGTCTTGGAAATGCACTGAACTTTAAAATGAATCAAAAATCGAACCGCAAAAAAAATCAAAATTAAGCGTGAACAAATTTTATTTCCTGAAAAAAAATCACCAAGACCTTTCTAAGAGTCTTCACTACGTTAATGACTCTTAAAATTGAAATCAACATTTTGATTTAAAAGTAAAGCGTAATATTACCCCCACCACATTTTTAACTATTGAAGAGTCTAACTTACCTTACCCGCCATTTGATTTTAGAGCGAGCTTCGCAGCACAGTCTTACTGTTTCGATCACTTCGAAAAATTGAAAAGAACTGCGCGAAAGGTCAGTTTTTGCGCAATTTCTACACTTCTAAAGGAAGAAACCAAGGGATCAAGAGTATAACTATCAAACTGAGCATTAAAAATTAGAAAGAGCGTGAAAAAAATTTATGACTTTACTGAAATAAAAACTCAAAAAGTCACCAAGACCTATATAAGAGTATTCACAACGTTCATTACTCTTAAAAATAGTCCGTGCTCCGGAAACTACGTCGATAAAAATTAACAGACGAACAATACTCTGATAAAGCAAACAATTTCTAGTTTGACAAAAGAAACAGATCCCGGTCGGATTCGAACAAGCCTTTCTCGTATCAAGCAGGCGTGTTACCTCTACGCCAGATGCGTTGATTAGACGACTGATTTTTAATTTATTATGAAACAAGATGAACCAACTGCAAAATCTGGCTAAAAAACTTGTTTCCGTGAAAAACTATTAGGTTGTAACACCCTTGCTTATAATAACAAAAACAGAAAATATTCAATAAAAAAACTTCGCTAATTCACGTTTTTGGAAAAAAAATGAACCAATTGGGCCAGAGAGGCCCTGAAGAAAGATTCAAAAATTAGTTAAATTCAGGCTCAAAATTGAGAGTGTTTTAGAAAAAAGCAATTGACCCAATCTAATCTTTTACAGCATAAAAAAAAAAAACATTCGAATATGAAGCTCTTTACCAATACGTGGTCGAAACAAAAAAATCAAAAAATGAAGATGCGGCTTTCATGTTAGACGTTTTTACTGATTTTAAACATATCAATTTTTATCGAAGCTTGCACATTTTGATTTTGACAACATAAATTAACGAATATCACAGAACAATAAATTTTAAAACACATGGGCGGAGCGATGCTTCGCACCACTAACATACCACACAATTTTATCACTGTGAGCTTGCAAACAAAAAAAACTAAAGCCTTTCAGTCAAAGAAAGCACAAAGACAAAGCATGACTTCGCACCACTTCCGATAAAACACAATAATAGCAAGGCAAACTAATGAAATGAAAGTGAAGCAAAATCCGTACAAAAACTAAAGCCGAAAAAATTTGAAAATTCAAAAAAAAATCAAGTCTCTCCTCAAAACATATAGATATAAACCTTCTATTACACATCAAACGGCACGAAAAGAGGCCACAGGGTCGATATAAAACAAATCGAATAAAATCAACACTGTTAAGCTCGATATACTGAAACCGGAGTTGGTAAATTTACAAACAACATAAGAAACAAACTTTGAGTAGAAAGGGCATTTAAAAAGCAGACATGCTCAATACTGATCTGCTAACTCACAAATAGAATTGGAGACCGAAGCCAATAAAAAATTAAGGGGAAACTATTTGGGCGGAAAAAACTTTAAGAGAAAAAAATGGCTCAGGTCTAGTAATTTTTTTTACAAATTTCGAAACAGAACAAAACGAATTCACCGACAATGAAAAAAGCTTAAGCATAAGAAAAATCCGAAACGTTGCAAAAATTCTGTCAGAACAGAGTTTACGCTAAGCGGAAATTTTTTATGAATTGAACTTTTTTCAAAATTGTTTTAGGTTCTTTTACAAATGTTTTAGGTTCTTTTATGACTTAACGTGAAATGTTATGATTTAAAGTAGGAAGGTAAAATCTGTTCACAGTAGTTCTAGTGTTCACCATGCCAATTTTCACTGCATTACGACAATGTCAAAAGTTTTTCAAAACCAGAAAATACGAAAAAATACGTTCTGTTGTACTAAATGAATACTTTAACCTTCTATCTAAGGAAATTTAAGTAATTGCACCAATTTTCCACGGTAAGTAAATATTTTTGTAAGGCTGTGGAGGGAGAGCTTTTATTATATAATGATCGTTTGAGTGAGTTAATTTAAGCTAAAATAACCTTTAAATACTCTGTAGTTAGATAGCAGGTTCACTATCACTCTTCCGATGAAACATGAAAAACGGTAAATTGCAGACCGATTTTACTTGACACGGAGATATATTTCTTTGATTTTTTGAAATAAGCACCACTAATAGAGCTAAACAAAACAAACCTTAGGGTTAGACAAAAATAACACAGAGGCAAATGGAGCTTCGCATCACTTGCGATACAACGAAAGCGCATCATTGCAAGCTAGCGGTAAAAACAAATGAGACGGAAAAAGAAAACCAAAAAAATTGAGCTGAAGCTCAGCCAATAACAAGTGGGTAGATGGGTGTTTAAGAAAAAAATCATTCAATTTTTGCCCTTTGACGCGACACAAAATAAGGTAATTGAGCCGATAAAACAAAAAAACCGAAATCATTCAGGTCAAATAAAGCTTTTATGCGAAAAAATAAAAAGGAAAACCAAGAAAAACGCAGTGTTAAGGCTATTAATTTTTACTAATTACGAGAAAGAATCAAACACAATTGCATCATCAATGAAAATTGCTGACAGCCCAAAAAAGTCGGCTAAGTTGCAGCTCTAAAATATGTTTCAAATTTTTAAACCACTGAAAAAATCCTGGGAGTAGATACACACATGTCCTGGTAAGAACCATTTGTAAAGTTTAAAGGAGTTCAAAAGCAACAAAACTATAAACAGGAAGAGAAGTCTTTCACCCGATTATCAAACACTTGCCTTAGCAAGCTTAACCACCCACAAATAGACCAAACTGAGATTTACCAACCAATTTTACTTTTGATTAAAAAACACTTGCCGCTGCGTATAAAATACTCGATTCTGACTTGCTGAGAATTTTTTCATTCAGCCAAGCTTAAATCCTCCGTGTTAACCACAAGGGGGTTATTAGGTGGATTTATTTCTAATCGGTACACTAGAAGTCTCAATTGTAACTCAGGTCTGATAGGTTAGAGGTCGTCGAAAAAAAGACGACAACTAAATTCTTGTAGAAAAAAGAACTTAACTAGCTTCGAGCAAATGAACTATATTCAGGTGGTTCTCTTTACTTACCTTTCCCTGGTAGCGTCTAAGAACGGCAATCATTAATAAAACATTGTATGAAAAAAGATCTATGGCACCGTTTTTTTATCACAGATTACTTTCAAATCTAGAATGTATTGTGGTTCAATTTTGGCTGTCTATAAGCTTAGGAATTATTATTCTATAGATATATCATACAATCAGGTAGACTACAATATAAAAATGGCGACAGAGAAAATAAGAAAGTACGTTGATATCCTTTACAATAGGAAGTGGACGGGGGATAATGTGATATCCGAAAACTTTTAATCGCAATTCTAATAGCCTCAGTGCAACAAAAAAAGCTGCAGAAGAGAAGCTTGCAACTCAGTTTTTTCTTTCCCTCCATTTGTTTTGTACCAGATAAAATAACAAAAATTGTACCAGATAAAATAATTGTACCTCGCTTCACCCAGATAAAATAATATTTGTTATTAGCCACCAGCGACAATAGCACAATCATGGGTGGGGGCGGCTGAAAAAAGGTGGAAGGTAGGGGGGATGTAGGGATGGACATCAAGGCCCGATCGGCGGCAAAATCAAATATACTCTGTTGTGAAATCTAATATTTAAAATTGAGATATACCCATCTAATATCATAAAAATCATATTTATGCAGGGCCCTTTGGGAGGGGGTGTTCTTGAATTGAGCCCCTTACAAAATTATATTATATGCTACCGTAAATATATTCTAATAACGAACACTAACCTGGGATTAGAAGTTGGGCTGTTGAGAGAGAACAGTTCTGATATCAGTTCTGAGTCCAAGTTATCTAGTTGTAATAAGTAGTAGACCTACTCTGGGAGATTCAGTCTCTTGTTTTCAATTCCTTACTGGACAATTGCTAGTAATGAATATCCACTAAAGGACGATGTAATAATATTTGAACAACAAACAAGTCTTCCAGTTTTAGTAGTACCAGCCAGTAGTGCCAACTATTTCCCCCTTCAGGAGCTAAGTAGCAATAATTTCACGCCGTTCAATTGAAAGAGACGTGAGGAACCAGTGAATACTTAGGTAGAAAGTAAACTTGCCTCCTGTGTCGGTATTGTATTTCGATCGGGGGAAACTAGGAAAGAGATTTAGACCCACGCGCTCTATGGTGCTGATTTAGGTTGCCCGCTGCACCACGTAAACATTGCATATGAAGTTACCATGCATGATTGACCCTGAAATGAAAAATATGGATAAAAACTATTCCAGCGTATCGCAAATAACATAACCGAAAACAGCGCTCTTTATAATTCCTCCACGATGGCGTGGCAACGTTCTTTCCAATCAACATTCGTTTGAAAAAAAAATGAACTTTCATTCTCCAAAAAGCATTGAAAAATTTAAAGACCACCTTGTTTCAACAATCTTTTATTCATTTTAGTGTCACTTCAAATTGAATTTTCTGAAGTGTTTCAAAATGCCGCCACTAAAAATGCAGGCTTTCTTTTTTATTTGCATCGAGCTCGTTACCTCCTACTCCCTTATTTTTCTGCCCTTTTCTATCACACTTTTCGATTTTTCTATAATACTCACTTTTTATCCAGCGCCACTATTTGAAATATGAAATGAATCCTACTTTCTTTCAAGCACACAAGCCGCAGAAATCAATTAAACTGATGTTGGTTTAATCAGTCGACAGTTTGGTTTAAGCACATATAATCCACGTACCTCTTTGAAGTACACGCGATAATGCAGGTCAAGGTCAAGTCGGTCTATCGTCTCATGAACAAATGATGAAATGAACCCTATTTTGCTAAGCGGTAAACCTAAATTGGTTTTCAGAACCTGGACACACTTTACTCTTAGATTTTCAACGACACAAACGTTGCTTGCGTAAAACTCAGACACAGAAACGACTTGGGGTCACTTTTTGAAAACTGAAGATACTATTGTTTATGAAGAAATTTAAACTAGCTCAAAACCAGTCACCAACTCAAACTGAGTATGATAATAATATCAATAATACGTCTCGCATTAGAGGTTAACCATGGTTTTATATTGGCAAATGGTTCTATATCATAAAATTAGCAATGGTTACTCGCGTATAGAAGAGCCACAGACCTGAAAATGGTATATATTTGGTCAGATACGTTTGTCCAACCGTGATACAAAATCGAGTAGATACAAGATCAAGCGTCTCCATAAGAAAACACTTCAAATTCCTGCAGCTAACAACTGCAATTTCCAATATGTTTCCCTAAGTATTTGATCTATAAACTAATCTGAAACTAAAATTGAACAAAAATTAGCCTATTAAAAAACTGTCAAAACGGCAACTGTCTTTGATCAGGAGTCAAAAGTCACAAACCGAACTGCCATGACAACTCTTTTCAATTATTTAAGGCTCTTGTTCTTTTCCACAACTCTTAAAAAGAGCTCACGGCTGTTTGTAGAATTTCAGAAATCACGGTCGCTGATCAATTTAGCCCTTGAGGGTCGGGCGGGAGGTTTTTTTGAGACTCCCATGAAAAAGCTTTGGGCGGCAATGATAACCGATCGGAGACAGTTTCTATCGAAAACCCCTCCGTTAACAAACCTCCTGATTTTTTGGAACGTGAAAAGTCAGTGACAACAAATTCCCAAACTTATGTAAACAATCTCAAGCACTTCTTTTCTTATGCAATAATACAGAGGCGGGGAGACCAATGACAGACGTTAATCAACCTTAAACTTGAGCGTAGTGTTATCAAGTATAAAATATCACAACCGGGCCAAATCTGCACTCATAACAAGGTTGTTCATAAATCGGAGGGTTCTATATAAAGCACCCGAGGAGTAAACCATAGTAGTAGGTAGTAGTAGCAGCAGTAGTAGTTTAGGCTTTGGACCATCTGATCCAGCGATCGCGTCCGTCACTTCACAGCTGAGTTGACTAAACCAGTCTAAACACAGCAATTGCATAATACACACAGAGGCGAAGCAAAGCTTAACACCACTTGCAATACGTCAAAAAAAGAACCACAGCTAGCCAAAAAAAAGGACAAAAGGACAGATTTGAATTTTTACTTGTCTCGATGGTGGTTGATTCTGAAGAAATATACTGAAAAACACAATTACCAGTGTGCAATAAGTCTTGAAAAACAACATTCATCAAATTGTAACAGAGCAGACAACACTTGGGTAGAGGACATTTTACTTGAAAAAAATTGCCGCATAAACATTTGAGCTATAAAAAATCTTAAACTCCCGTTTTCCACACCTCCTTCAAGAGCATAAAGACAATAAAAATATTTTGGCCCTTCAAACGACAAATTATGAGGCAAATAAACAGATATATTATCAGCCGCAACCAGTTAAGCCGATTAAAACAAAATTGAAAAAAAAAAACGAAAACAATCAGCGAAATAGGAGTTGTTTTGAAAGCAACAAAAATTCGAATGAAACGGCCATTTAAAAAGCAGACATGCTATAAAAATCCTTTTCTGGGCATTCTATCAGAACAGACATGCCAACTGATTTTGTTCAACTAATTGTTAACATGAAAAAAGTCTATATTATGATTTTATCTCGCTTGCTTATCGCAAGCGAAATTAAGTTTTTCACACTTTTCGGTTCGCTTAAATTTTGGTGACTTATCCACTCTCAAGACAGAGATTGCATTTTAAAGTATAGACAATATGTTTACATAAATTCCACTTCAGTCGCGGTCGGAGGCAGGGCTACCAACTGGTTGCCGAAAATGTTGTAACTTAATCAAACAGGCCAGAAAAGCGTTTTTTCGTCGCGCACTCCCCCCTCAAAACTAGGTTAAATTGGAGGTTTAGAAAAATTTTGGGGTGTGCCAGCCAGAAAAGGATATCTCAAAATAGTTCTTGACTATAAAAAAAAATAGTGACCAGTAAAAAAAAGTAGAGAACTTGTAGAGACCAATAGTGACCGGTTACTATAATAGAGACTAGTTGGTAACCCTGTTCGGAGGGTTCGCAATGTTATCTGCCTCCTCAAATTGGGAAGGGCTACGGCAAAAAAATGATACCACCTAAATCAGTTACTAACTTTGAAGAAAGTATCAAAACTCATACACAGAGCGACCAAACGACCCAATGAGATTGAAATTGAAGAAGCAAGAAAATTTTGAAAAAACTGAGTAAACAAAATTTTGAACGTTAGAGCTCTGCAAGATTCGAAATGCAGACCTGAAATACAGCTGATTGTCTGTCAAGAAAGAATCAGAAATTAAAACAAATTGAAATTTCAAATAGATTTTCTCATCTATTCTAAAGCCAGAATAGAATGCACACCACTATGCACTAACGCTGCTCTACTAAAAAAAGCATGATTATTGCAAAATAATTGTTTAAAAAAAAGCTTTTATATTGCAAAATAAAAAAGACAGGAAAAACATAAGAAATTTGCAGCCTATGGTAATCGAACCTCCAACCCTCAAGAGATAGGGTCTAAGATAATAATAATTAGGCCATATAACCTTCCTATCTTCCAACCACCAATAAAAAACATAAAACACATGCTATCAAATTTTCCCTCTGAATTAGAGCAATATACAACCTGAACTTGATCACTAAGTTTTTGAGCCCTAATTTATGCAATTTAGGCCAAAAACCATTTAAGTATGCAAAAATGTAGGATGTAGAAAATTACTTTTACAAACGAATTTCAGGTTTCCGTGCAAAAAGATAAAAATAGTCGCTGTTAAATCATGTTTTAACAGACTTCTTGGAATATTGGGCAGTTCTCAGGATCAGTATTGGCTGTGTCATGGCAAAAGAATAAACTGTTGATTAAGTTAGCTTGTTTCAGATACAAAAAATTGACAAAAAAATCATACAAAAACTTTTTGAACCAAAGCTACTGACAAAACTTCCAGTCAAGCTTAGCTGCGACTTGCTTCTTAAGCGTTGAGATCGATGGTCGTCGATCTTAAACACTGCGCCTCAGGCAGCTGCGTCATTGCATTCATTTGTTTTTCATTTATAACAACATGCCAAATTGTTGGCAATACCCTTTTGGTTCAAACTTTTGGAAACTTAACAAACTAAGGTAATCTATACCGGCTCAATTTGACATCGGAAGGAAACCATTCGAGACATTTGAAAACATAATAACAATTTGAGTTCAAAAAACCTTATGGACCAATAGTTCACTAACATAATAACAATTTGAGTTCAAAAAACCTTATGAACCAATAGTACACTTCTGTATGAGTTAATTTACGCGCTCAATTATTTCGAAGTTTCATGGTTTAATAAGCTTGCTTAAACGAACATCAACTTTGAAAACAAGAAGTGACTTTTTCACTCTAACTCGAACACTTGAACGAAGGCTGTTTATACTTGAAACTGTGCGGAAAATATTTGAAACAGGCTATGAAAACTGCAATAACTCAAGTATAATCGAACTATCAGCTGGCCTAAAACAACTTTTTTTGCGAATCCATTCAGGCTACGAAAGTCGAATCGAAGTATTTGAAAATTTCATCGCTTGATAAATTTGCTTGGAGTTTTTTCGCGCGAGCTTGCTTAAAGGTGCATCAATTTTTTCCAAAACGAAGTCATACAATGAAAGCAATGAATACCTTTTTCACTTTAAATGGAATACTTGAACTAAAGTTCTTTAGAGCTTGAAACTTTGAGATTAATCACTAGACATGCTTTTTTATTGGGTCTGTTTCATTTTTCATGCTTTTTCATTCAATTTTGACTTAAGCTTTGCTTTTCAACGTTTGCGAAGGATTATTGGACTTTGAAATCAATCAAAAATCATGGAGCCCTATCGGGTGTCTCTTATCAATCTAACTTTAACAAAAGCTCTCAGAACATGAAAGTAAGATTTAATTGATAAGTCATGATAGCAAATGGGGTGTCTTTACATCAAGAAAAAGCCAGTCGGTCCTCAAACTTTGAACACAATCAGCAGTCATCCTATATCGTGGTTCTTTTGATCTGATTAAAAATTCAATTCTTTTTTTCATTTTGATTTTGACTTGCCTGAAAAGCTTGCTTAGGCCTCAGCGAACGTTTTGAAGTCATCAAATTTAAATTGAATTATGGTAAATATTTTCAATCAATTTGAAAGATTATTTTTCGACGCAGAACAGTGAGATTACCATCAAAAAGGATTTTTTTAAAATATTTACCAAGGGATGTTTAAAACTTCAGCATCTCAAATTTTCCTTGCAAAACCAATTTTTTGTTTCGTTTGAACAATTTGCCTAAAGGCTGTCAAACTCAATTATTTTCAGCAAAACAAGAAAAAAATTACAGATGCAGAGCGGAGCTTCGCACTACTTGCGATACAGCACAAGAGTAGGATGGCATACTACCCGACAGAAAATTAGAACAATGTAAAAAAATTGAAAAAAGTAGAATAACTTTATCTAGAAAAAAGTTCATACGTTGAGCTCGATTTCTCTCGAGTGAACTACTTTTTTAGGAAACAATTGAAGGAATACAATTGGCAGCTATTAGAGGCATTGAAACGAAAAATACCAAGCTGTTAAAAATTGCACCCGTTATGCCAAAAAAAATTGAAAATTTGCAGGTTGAAATGTTTATTTAGAAGCTCGGATTCCTCCTCAAAAAACACACATTTTTACATCCATAAAAGACACAAAAAATAAGGAAATTTGACGAAATGATATAAATACGCTCCGATATAATAGCGATTCCTAATTTCAAGCATTTTAATTTAGAGGAAATCCTGATATCAGACAACACAAATTTCTTTAAATCGTATTCTTTCAACATTCAAAATGAAATTTATGAAGGGTTTTGATAATTAAAACAATTCAATAGCGCCTAAAAAATCATTACAGAACGCAGCTCTCTCGAAAATTTTACTTTTTTCTCTGATAGGGGCAAAAAGGTTACATTTTTTTAGAGAGCTGCATTCTGTAATGATTTTTAGGAGAATTGTATTAATTATCAAAACCCTTCATTAATTTCATTTTGAATGTTGAAAGAATACGATTTAAAGAAATTTTTGTTGTCTGATATCAGGATTTCCTCCAAATTCAAACGCTTGAAATTAGGAATCGCCATTATATCGGAACGTAGTTTATCATTTCGTCAAATTTCCTTATTTTTTGTATCAAAATTGTCATCTCTTTTTATTTTCAGAAGCTTTATGATTGTTACTTAGTCGTAAAACTAACCCTAGTTGAAACCCTAGTTC